TGCTTTATACAAAAGTGGCCGATGTATGTATTTATTATTTCCATTTATGAGTCAACTAATAAAAATATTCTCTAAGTAGCCTGTAGCAGCAATATAAGCAACATTTCAAATATAACTTGCAGCAATTCAATAATAAAACAATAAACTGGTAAAACAACCCTGCAATAAATCCAGCCATAAAATCCAATTCAGCATAAAACAAGCACCAATCGACCCCAAGCAACCTGTACAATGTTTACAAAGTTCTGGAATAAGTTGCAGAGGGCTATGTTTTGTTTTCTATAGTCCGACAAAGCAACACCAGCTACATGCATGATTTATTAAAATATATAAATATTGTATACTTGTACTTTTGCATGATTGTTCATAAATGTAAAAATATTTAAACTTTATTCATAGCATTAACTTGAACTGAATTCTATTTTTATATACCTTGAATTCTCCAGGTAGAACAAGAAGAGAGGAAACCCATTATGCTTCAAAATAAGTTACGCAAACAATCCTAATGATGTGTACATGAGTAAAATGTTCCCCAAGGCTGCAATCTCATACCTACTTATCTGGGACTTGCTTCTAAGTAGACACATACAGGATTGCACTATGATTTTCCTAGAACTAAGTGTATAATGCACTTGGATATGAAAATACATTCTGCCATCTCAATGTGTTTCCTGCTTAAGAACTTGATTCTTTGCCCATGCTGTGCTCTAGGAATTTTGTTCAATGTTCACTATGTTTAATGAGAAACCTTAACACTTCCATGACTTTGGATCAAGGCATTAAAGTTCAAGCATGTAAATCAAATCAGCCCTCATTTCTCAACATTTGCATCTCCCTCACAGGCTATACCAATTTGGCCCGTTCTTGCTTTTGATCCAGTTTGAGCCTCGTCTACATTTGATTTATTTTATCTATTTTTTTATTAAATTTCTATACTGCCTTTTATCCAAGGATCATAGGACACTTTAAAATATCAAAACACAAAAACATGTAACATACTAACAAAAACAATATGCATATGCATCCATGCACACACCCACACAGATTAAAAGGCCATAGATTGTTTAATTTAATTGTCCAACAGCTTGGGAGAAGAAGAATGCTTTTGCCTGTCCGATAAAGATCTGTAACAAAGGCACCAGGCAAACCTCTCTGGGGAGAGCATTCCACAAGTGGGGAACCACTGCAAAAAAGGCCTAGTCTTGTTCTCCGCCTCCTCCCCCCCCCAGGCATTGTTTACTGGAGCATACTGGAGTAGCAGGAAGAAACACTCCGGTTTGTTCCAAAGTTTTCCAAGCACTGGATGATTACTAAACCCTCAGAAAACATCAGAGAGGATTGGGACACTCAACCTGCCCTGCTTCCTCCTTGGAGGAGTAGAGAGATAGAAACAGCAGTGTGCTTTTGACTGCCAATACTGTTGTATTTGAGCAGGGGGAGCCTTTTAAGGGGAAATTATGGCACTATCTCTACCATGGAGCAATGTTTCACCACTGATAAATTCAATAGGAGTCTAGTAGCAAGGTTGGCTCAAACATGCCTAATTCTGTGCTGGATTCTAGGCCTAAAACTATGTCTGCAATACTTCTGAAACACATGTGTTCAAATACTTGGCTTCACTAAAATGTTTTTTACGCATGCATGCTGGCATGAACTTTATTAGTTGACCCAGTTCTCATTTAGCAACAACCTGAAGCTTGCTTTATGCATAACTACCAACTTAAGAAACACTCAAAGATATCCTCTGAAGACAAGAATGAGGTTTGAGCTCCAATTTATGCCATCTTCCATGAAAACAAGGTATGTCTGGTATGGTGTCTGGTATGTCTCCAAACCTGTCTAAGTAACTTTTCCAGTGAGGTATATAGTAATGGATGGCTTAAAAAATCAAAATGAATATATGAATACCATGCTTTGTAAATATGTAAAATTCCAACTTGTTTACAAGGATATGGAAATTATAAATGAAAAGTTGTAAAGTAAAAGGGTTCATCCTAGGTTGTTAAAAGATAGCACCCATCAACTCAAGTCAAGAGCCATGGGCATTCTAGTAAATTACACAACTATAATCTTAATTGTCAGGTAATTGGCCTAGGGCTTCACCTTTGCAAAATGCTCAAGAGCATAGCATGAAATTGTCCAACTGTAATTAAAACTTTGCAAAGTTAGAATCAGCAACAACATGTGCCCTTAAATCAGCACCCAGGCCAGATCCAAACAGACACATAAAATTGGCGCATTCTACTGTACAGTCGTACCACTGTTTACGTAACCCTCTGGTTATGTAAACTTCGGAATGTGTGCGCAGCAAACCTGGAAGTATTTTACTGGGTTTCGCCCCACGCGCATGCACAGAAGAAGTCTGCACATGTGCAGAAGCAGTCCTCAGGTTGCAGAAACCTCGGGATCCGACTGGACCTCCGGAACAGATCCCAACCGCAACTGGAGGTACCACTGCATGAACAACCATAAACATACTTACGCCATTACCACGAGCTATCAAAATAATTCCACTTCCAATACCAATGCAAAAATATCTAACAATCTTAGATGTGGTTTTTAATTTTAATTCTAAACCAACCTGTCATGCCAGTACATCAGGTAAATCCAAGTAAGTTCAGGATAAATTATATGTTAATCTGATTTATAAAATTAAAAACTTGGGTTCATACTCAGCAATTCATAGAATCTTTCTAACTGGAGAGAACTGTGAGCTATGACTGCAAAAATACTCTTCTAGTACATAGAAACTGATGCAGTACAGTGCCATATTTTGCTTGGGTTGCTTGCCACATAGATAGGAAAGATTTAAAAACTGCACATTGGAAAAAGAAATGTGAATAAGTAGCTCTCTATAGCATATTGATAAAATGTAAGAACTGTGTAGTATTAAGAGCCTTTGCCAATTATCCTTGCCAATATCATTCTAGGCATACATTTTAATGTTCAGACAGGACATCAGCAATGCTATAGTTTCTGCTTTCTAATATACTAACCAATTGTTATCTGAGGCTGCTTTAGTAGGAAGTAAATACATGACAGAATACAAATGCTACAGGAGATGGTGTGCATAGCAAGCATCATTGATTTTGTCATCAAGTACAAATTGTAAACTGGAAGAAGTGCTCTCTTTTCTAAAATGGAAACGAACAGTTTTAACAGCTTTGCTGCTTAGATGCATGCCGGCCGACTTAATTCAATATTCTTGCCTCTTTTAATGCACAGTGAAAAGTAGCCCAAACAATTAAATAAGACATAATATGGGCTGTAAGTAAGGTTCCAGTTTATGTAAGGCCTACCTACAGCTGAAACATAACAAAATGTACCCTTAACCGTCACTTAAACCGAAAGAAACATATCTACATCATACCAGAGGTTTTATTTGTGGATAAAAGCACAGATATAGAGTGTCAAATGTGTGTTCAGTAAAACGGTATTCTAATATATCTGTTACATTACTCTCAAACAGTACTACAAGCCTTGGTCAATTTCCCCCCCCTAAAAGCAAACGTTTCAGACTGCAAAAGCATTAAAACTTCATAGTTACATATTTGAACACAGTTAGCATACTGTAGTATGTACTTTCCAATATTCAAGTCACAATATCCACCGTTCATACTATATATGCATCAAACGTATCAAACATTAAAGTGCTCAGTTATTACATTTGTCGAAATAGGTGATTTGTTATGACTAAACCTAAGGCTCTGAGAACACATTGCATTGCTTATGACATCAAGCACCATGGACAGTACTGAAAATCTGCAGCACCATGGACAGCACCAAGCATTTGCAGCTCTACGTACCGCAGTTCCATCACATAAAACTGCCTTGCAGACTTTATTCCCGAACAAAATAAAATGTCTGCTGTTAAGAAGCAGACTCTGAATATTTCTAGCCCACAAAGCAGTTTCTCCTTTCACTTTAACAATAAGCAGCAATTTGTTTTTGTCACACAAGTAAGCATGCAAACTCTTAAAGATACTATTTAAGGACTTGCAAACCTGAACTGATGCTTGCATCCCAGCAGCTCTTAGATCAACACTGCTCTGCTTATAAATAAAGGTAATATATTCAATGTAAACTTTAAAAATTATCTGCTGGTGGGTTTACTTCTTATACCCTGTTTCCATGACAAGCAAATCCTTTCAACGAGCATTGCTTTCCTTTAAAAAAAAAGTAAGTTGGCCAATACTCATTACATCTACAACATTTAGATTTTCTTTGGATGCTCTAAGATTACATCAGGGTGATAAACCCTAAAGAAAACACTGCAGTTCCACTACACAATATAATATAATATATTACTATCCCAAACACAATTCCTGGAAGTAGCTTCTACTGAAATCAACAAGATGCATCAATATCTAAATCAGGGCCTTGGATATAAGTTTGTTTTTTTAACTGCTTCTAGCCCTTGGTTGTTGTTTTTTAAAGCAGCAAACAACAGTTCATGTACAAAGTTGACAGCTACTATCCAGAACCTATTATCCAGAACCTCTGAAGCTAGACCCCATTGATTTCTGTGGAACTTATTCCCACAGCAGTGTGCACTGAACTGCGACCTTAGAAACATGTCACTACAGCAAGAGCAACACTTTTCTTAAAGGACAAGGTGCCTGAGGTTAAGGGAAATGGGAAATCAGAATTACGTACAAAGAGCAAAGAGGCAGTCACTAAGACTCTGCCATCACTACTTTTTCACCCCTACACAGTTCGCTGCAGACTCTGCTTGCGACTCCCATAAACATAGGGCATATTCCAACTCCAGGGATTCGGCAGAGCAGACTTGAACAGAGACATTTACACACAGAGAGAGAAGAAGAGCCACCTGGGATCACTTCCTTTCCTCTAAGACTCAATTACCACACTCTTAGGACACCCCAGGAAAATTACCAGGCTTTTGATTCCCTGAGTTCAACAGCATGCAGAGCTTTCGCAGCAAATGTCCTACACAACGCTGTGCCTCCAGGGACACACAAGAAAGTTCTTGACCAGTCCTAGAGCTGTCCTTGGTCGTCCAACCGGTTAGCCAGAAGCTGGCGAAGGGCACCAAACAGATGCCCACAGTATTTGGCACTGTTCTCCTTAAACGAAAGACAAACCTACCAAGCCCGAGAGAAGCAGCGCCTCCTCAGAAGTTCAGGACCCAACTCCATCCATCCCAACAACCGCCCTGATTCAGCAACTCGGAAGTTAATGCCCCCACCCTCCCCTGCGAAGAAAGCAGACCTTCGCACCGCCACGCGAACGACGCTTTTTCAGTTCCGGGAAACCAGCGAGATCCCCTGATCATTGAAGGGCCAGGGAAACCCCCGCTGGCGACCACGTCTCGGCCTCCCCTCCCCATCCCACGCACCACCCCCACCCCACCCGCCGCCTCCGCGCAGTAGCAGCAGCAGCAGCCCACGCGCTCCCGGGTCCTGCTCATTGGCACGCAGCGCCTCTTCCCCTGCCAAGCCGCATTCCAGCCCCTGGCAGTCAGAGCGGGGCCAGCGCGAGTCAGGAGCCCATCGCATATGATCAGGACCGGGGGAAGAGAGGGAAGGAGGGAGGGAGAAGGAGCCAGAAACGAAGCCACGAGCCTCAGCGTCGCCAAAGAGACCAACAGTGAATCCGAGGGATTGGAGGGGTGGGAGAAAGACATTGCCAAAGTGGTGGGGGTTATTAAAAAAACAAAACCACCTACACTCCTACCTTACAATCCTCCGGGCCGGATTTCACCGAGTACTCCTCCGCCTGCAAGTATTTTTGCAGCACGAGCTCGAACTCTCGGTAGCGGTCCTGCGCTTGCTGGTCGTAGTTCTGGTAAGCCAGGACGCAGCGGCGGCAAGAGCCGAGCCAATCCTCCTCCTCCTCCTCCCTGCGGCGCCCTTCGCCATCCAACTCCTCGTCCTCGTCCCCCTCGCCTAGGTCCAGAGTGCAGTTCAGAGTGTCCGGGCGGGAAAGCCCGGCGAAGAGCTCGCGCAGCGTGTAGGAACTACAAAAGGGAAGGTAGAGCTCCGCCTGGGCCGAGGCTCCGGGCTGCTGCAGGCGGCGGCACGCAGCCTCGGCGTCGCCCAGCAGGCTGAAGCACTGGCCGCCGCCGCCGCCGCCCTCCGCCTCCGCCGCGCCGTCCATGCCGTCCTCCCTGCCCGCTCCCGCCCGCTCTGGGTCCCGGTGGCGCCCGGCCGCGACCTGCCTGGCCTCAACGCAGAGCCACAGGTGGTCGGAGAGCAGCACGGTGAAGAAGAGCAGCGAGGCCAGCGACAGGCGCCATTTCTGCGCCCGCTCCGAGTCCGCGAAGGGCTTGTCGGGCTCCCGCGGGCCGAAGCACACGCCCGAGCCGGATCCTCCCGGGGGGCGGCTGCTCATATTTCGGGAGCGCGCAGCCCCGGCCGGCTCCACGGCGAGGGGGGCTCCGCAGCCGGGCTCGGCGGCCCCACGGGCATGGACACGGCGCGGCGGGGCGCCAGGCTCCCCCCTCAGAGAAGGGCGACGACGACGGCGGTGGCGGCGGCGGCGCTAATGGGGGTGGCGGGGACGGTGGTGGTGGTGGTGCTCCTGCGCGCTGGGCTGGGCTGGGCCGGTCGCCGTCCCCTGCCTCCCTCACGTTCCCTGTCACCCGGGCATGGTCAGAGCGCGGGCCCCCATTTTGGCGCCAACTCGGCCAGCCCACCGCTTCCCGCCCTTCGCCTCATGGCGCGCTGCTCCGCCGCCGCCGCCGCCCCCCACCCCGGCGCCCTGGAGAGCCAGCCGGGGGACCCCGCGAGCCGGGCCCCCGCTAGCCCCAGACGAGACCCTCCTGCTCCTCCTCCTGGCGAGAGGCTGGCTGCTGCGCGTCGCCTGGCCCGAGCTGCTGAGGAGACGCCGGAGGAGCGGCGGGGCGAAGGCTGCTGCTGCTGCTGTGGCTCTTGCTGCGGCTGCTCCTGCTAGCACTGCTGGTGCCACTGCGCTGCGGCTTCTGCTGCTGCCGCCGCCGCCGCTGCTGCTGTTGCTTCTGCTGAGGCTCCCGCCGGGCACGACCCCCCCCTGCTCGCGGCGCGGATTTGGCTGCCTCCTGCTGCCCGGGGGCCACCCTCATCTTGGGGCCCTGCGCTAAGTTGCCGCCATCTTCGTCCGGGAGAAGCACTTTTTTGGGGGGAGCGCACGGCCCTTTGCGTCATCTCCTCCTGCGCCGCCAGCCTGGCGCATTGGCAGCGGCGGCGTGCTCTGCCTTCCCTCGACTGGGGGTGGGGGGGGGAGGAGAGCGAGCGAGCGAGCCGAGGGAGGGAGGGAGGAGAGGAGAGGTTGGGGGGAATCGCCTGCCGCGCTCTCCCCGCTCGGAGGACCCCCCAATCACCGGCATTCTGGCGCGAGGGGGCGGGGGCAATCTCCTCCTCGTGGAGCCGAGGAAGGGGAAGGAATGGATCGCGGGAAGCCGTCGGCGGTGAGTTCGCCTTCGCTGCTTTGCCGGGCTCGGGGGGGGGTTGTCTCGCTTGCTGCTGCTCCCCGCCCCCTGTCGTGGGAGCCCCTCGCTCCGCTGCGCCCTAGAGAGCGGCCAGGTGTCGCCTCGCAGCCGAGCCGCGCCGCAGCCCGGGCTGCTCCATGCCCGGTAGGAGCGCAGCCGGCGACTTCGGAGCCGCCCCGGGCCAGAGAGGGGCGGGTTGCCCCCCGTCGCGGGGAACTTTGTCCTGGCTTGTGGGGGAGGGGGAGGCCTCCCGATTTGAGGAGCGGGGGGGCGAGGAGAAGGAGGGGGGAGAGAGGTTTCCCCCCAAAATTGCCCCCCCCAAGGTGCTTTCCTCTCACGGTGGGGGGGGGGAGAGGCGGGGGACATTTGTCTCTCGCCTCCCCACTTCTTGCCAGCTGGGTAAACAGAGCCGGCACCCTCTCTCTCGATGTATATCGAGTTTGGAGACCTTTCTTATTGTCAGACAGACATGCTCTTTGAAAAATAATGATAATAATTTTTATTAAATATTTTCTTTGTTTACAAGAGTACCTGCATTGTCTCTCTTTTCAGGTTGCAAAGTCTTTTTCCATATACCAGTTACATACAATGTGATACAGAATATGGTTGGGGAAGAAGAAAAAGTGGGGAGAGGGAGGAAAGCCACCACTCCCTTTGCCTGACTTCAGGGAAGTCAACACCTAGGGCAGGCATAGGCAAACTTGGCCCTCCAGATATTTTGGGACTACAACTCCCACCATCCCTAGCTAACAGGACCAGTGGTCAGGGATGGTGGGAGTTGTAGTCCCAAAACATCTGGAGGGCCGAGTTTGCCTATGCCTATGGGGGGCTGAGGTCCCAAAAAAATATTTGAGGGGTTCACCCTCCAAAAGTTTATGGGCATTGCCATTCAAATGGTGTGTGTGTGCCATGTCTTGTGGTCGATTAAGCCAGGCATGGCTTACCTGGGCTCCCCAATTCAAGTTGGCACCCGTGCCTGACCATATTTTTTGAACATATTCCAAACATTTTCCTCAGATGATGCCTGAGAAAGAAAGGGAGGTGAGGGAGACTCTCAATCTGGCCAGATTTTATCCCTGCCTAAACTGTAAATTCTTGCCTAAAAAATAATGATCTGCGCCTTTTGAGATCTTAAGTGTCTTGCTTTGAGACCAAGGGGGCAGGTGCTTTTTATCATATTTTATCATATTGCAATGTAATCCTGATTTAACCAGCAAACCTGAGAATTTTATAGTCTAATTCTCATATATATATATATATATATATATATATATATAACATTGATTCAGAATTACAATACAGCTTTGTCCACTGCCATAATATCACAGAAGGATCTCTCCAATCCTCAATCCCACATCACTGTCATGTTGTCTTGCCAAATATCCTCAGTAAGAACCCAGCTACAAATCTGGTTGGCTGGCCATTTTCAATCAATCAATATTGATTGAAAATAGCCTGGTTCTGAATATATGCCTCTTATAATCCATTTGGGAAGTCAGTGGGAACGGTGGCTACTGATGGTTCCATGTCAGCGGTGCCAACTTGAATAAAATATTGGAGAGGGTTCAGGTAAGCCCTCCCCCACATAATCTATCACACCACACACACCATTTGAATGACAGTGCCCTTCAGCTTTGGGGGGCAGCGCCCTCAAATATTTTATTGGGGGCAACAAAGGGACCCTGGCCCCTAAGTGTTGGTTCCTGTATTCCATGTGCAAAGCATGTGAATGGTCTGGGTCACTTTGCAGAGTTTCCACACAAGCATGTCATATGCCCAACAGCTTCTGACATTAGTCTGGACACTCTCCATCAACACATTATGGTTCCTGTCCGTGTGGAGACAACTGTTCCGCAACCACTAATATATATATTCATAACCTGACAGTTGGCAGGTAAATGCAAGCAGCTCAATCTTATGCATGCTTGCCCAGAAGGAAGTGTCAATGTGTACAATAGGATGTAACACAGAGTAGGTGTGCATCAGATTGCAAGCATAAATCATTGCAGTGTCACAAAACTAGAGATTGTATCTGCAATATTTATTTATTTTAAAATAGCAGCTTTTGTCATATCCAGTTGCTCTTTGCTTTCTGCATTGCTTACAAAAATGTGATGTCTTTATGGCTATCCAAACGCATAAAATGTTTAGTGTTTTAACATCAAAGAAATGGAACCTGACCAAACCCATTTATATGCATGTGCAAGCCTCAGAAGTGACATCTATTGAGATCAATGTGGCTTACTCTCGGGTAGGTGTGCATAGAATTGCAGCCTATTGTGATCAACTTGCAAACACAGCTTATGCATCCTATCCTTCTCAGATGAAACTGAAGGTATTTTTAATTTTGCAAGAATTTCGGTCTTTTCACCCCTGTCGTCACATTTCATATGCTAAATTGTGCTACTGAGCAATTTCTCCCCCCACAAAATCCTACGTAGCCACGTTGACCTGATCTTATTTCAATCCCTTACTTCAAACCTTCTATGGCGTGTCATTAAGTTATTGCCTAGCAGATGGGAAGCATAATACATTCATTAGCATCCATATGTCACAGAAGTTGTGCATAAATTTTTATTTTGATAGACTAATTGAAAGGTAGAGAAATTCATTTTAATATTATGGGAGAAGTCATGAGATACTCACCACTTAAATAGCGTGACATGCCTCAGTTTAGAATCTGGACGTTTCTCATTATCAAGGTTAAAAACTGCAAATACAGGCATCTGCTCCACACTTCCTTGCAGAATTTCTGCACCGGGAGGGTGCTATATGCATTTTTAGTAAAACTAGAGCCTCAAAACTGACTATCTTCCAGGTGTCACAATGTCAGGGAATGGGAAACAAAATAGTTTCAAGTTCGGATTTTCTTTCCATTTACTCGTACATATCTAAGAAATCTTGCACGTTTTTTACAGGTGTGGGTGTGTTAAGATGCACTCACAGTTCCCGAATGCAGCAAAAACATCTTAATGCAGTGTTCCGTTAGCACCAAACAAGGACACTTCCAGATGACTTGTTTACTGAACACCCATCCTGATTTGTTTGCACGGAGCTTAAAAGATGTATCACCAAAGCAACAGTTATCCTACACTTTGCAGTGCATTTTCCTCATTGCAAAAAGTCTGATAATTTTGGGGAGTGACCTCCCAATCAGCTGTAAACGAGCAACCTGAATTTGTCAGTATAAGATTGAACCCTACTCCCAAAATAGTGACAGTCTGGAAGCACACCAAGATATAACGCAGGACTTCCATGCAGATGTGTTGTTTTATTTTTGCTTTATTAACAGGCACCCATGGTGAGCTATGAATTTCACTGGAGCTGCAAGGCAGGAGGGTGCTTAACCCTTCTCCTATCAAAGCTACCTCCCACAAACTCCTTTATTCCCGAAGGGAGATAGTATGACCATCTGCCATGGATAAGAAAGGATGGTTTTCACTGGAGAAAATGGCCCAGAGGGAAAGGGCTAAACACACACACCTGCCCTGCACTCCCTGAACACATTCCCAAGGTCTGTGTTTCAGAACAAAATAAATCCACAAAGGTCAAACTACTGGTTAGGGTGCCTAGAATTGGGGGAGCTGAGTATGTTCAGCCTGGAAAAGAAGAGATAGGATAGCCATCTTCAAATATCTCAAGGGTTGTCATGTAAAGATGGACCAAGCTTGTTTTCTGCTGCTCCAGAGGGTAGAACTCGAACCAATGGATTCAAGTTACAAGGAAGAAGATTCCGACTAAACATCAGGAAGAACTTTCTGACAGAGCTATTTGACAGTGGAACTCTCTTTCCTTGGAGGTTTTTCAACAGAGTTTGCATGGCCATCTGTCATGGATGCTTTATCTGAGATTTCTGCAATCCAGGGAGTTGCACTAGATGACCCTCAGGGTCCCTCGCAACTCAGCAATTCTTTAATTCTACTAA